CGGGAAAATCGCTAACTCGAGAACCAGAAAAGCTAGAAAGCTGAAATTTTGGGGTTATGTTTCCAGCCCAAGTAGAACTCAAAGATTTCAAATTCGGCCCCCGAGGGTTCCTGGTTTCCGCGTGCGGCCCCCTGAAAGTTTCTGGCGCGAAAATCGCTAGCTCGGAACCAAGAAGGCTGGAAGGCTGAAACTTTCAGGAAATGTTCCCAACTCACCTGCAACTTAAATTCGTCAAAATTAGCCCCCTCTCATGCGTGGTTGCCCTGTACGGCCCCGCGAATGTTTTTGGCGGGAAAATGAATAACTTCGGAGTCAGGGAAGCTGGGAGACTGAAACTTTCAGGAAATGTTCCCAAATCACCTACAACTTGAATTTAACAAAATCAGCCCCCCAATGTGCGTGGCTGTCACTTACGGCCCCGTTTCAGGAAATGTTCCCAACTCATCTGCAACTTCAAATTTACCAAATTCAGCTCCCCAATGTTCGTGGTTGCCACGTACGGCCCCGTGGAATTTTCTGGCTAAAATTTGGGTAACTCGGGAACTGAGAAAGCTGGGAACCTGGGATGGAAAACATGTATAGCGTGGATAATTCACTTCCCGATACTCGAACCAGTATGTACAAGAGGTTTATAGCGAGCGGAATTTCGAGTGATCTTATTACTGCTCGAAACACTGCAAAAATGCATGATCGCACGGGCACACCGGTGCGCGTCGCCGATGATTTTTACTGGAGTACACCGTCCTGATAATAATGCCCACTCAAATCGAAATTAAAGAACTTTTATTCAATACCTGCGGCTTATAGATTTTAAACCTGGAATACTTTTCTGCGCCATGTAATTACCGGACTGTAGGAGAGGAACAAAAGTAGGTCAACCTTGGCGCAGCTCCACGCAGGGAATTGAATTAAACATTCCTAAAATGATTTAAAGGGAACTCTGAGGACTTTCACATAGAAAAATGAAAGAAGTGGGATACTTTGGTAGTAAGAGGTGGTTGTTCGAAAGCAGGTACGGTAACCGGAACACTTGAACCACGCCTCCTTCCATCGACCTCATTTTCGTCCACTTTACTGCGAACACCCCTCACCTCTTCACTCCGTTCTCTTTTTCCACCAAAATTAGCCTAAACTGAACGGGATAAGCAGATTTTAACTAATTAGTTAATTCTGTCCTATTTTTTTTAATTTTCTTTGAAAAATGAACCCTGAGGTTTGTAAAATCAAACGCTTCAAGTTGAGTTTAAGATTTCATAGGAAAATAAAAAATTGAAGTAAGCACGAGGCCGAAATTAAATTTCAAACAAAAATTTGATATAAAAAATTTTGGAAGCATTCACCTGATGTGATGTGAAACTGTGCAAGCTTTGAACAACAAATTTCACTGGATTTTTGGCGTTTTTGATAACCTGAACTGCTTGTTCATGCGTTGCTTCGCGCAAATCATGGTCATTCACCTATAAAAAATTTTGGTCCCTTTTTAGAAATGTAAATTACAGAACTAGGTGCCATCACTGTGTGCTTGTACAAGTGTATTAATCATGAAAATTGTGAGAGACCGGTATGCTGAAAAAAGCGTTCGAAGTTCTTGCAGTCGACCAATGTTTTCAGGTTCAAATTCGGACTAGTGCTGCAGCCACAGAAAGAGCTGTATTACTGTAATTTAGGTTTGATTCATTGTCGACAGAAAAAGGGCTCTCGAATTCAAAAATTTTAACTTCAGATTCAGATTCAAGCCAATTTTTACAGATAAGCTGGCCGATACATAGTGACGGGAAGTAGTGCTGTAGTGCAGGAGGCCCAGTTTTTGAGTCCGCTGACAAGAGACTCATTCATTCGCATCGATGGTAATTTATGTCAAACCTGTCATCAGTTTACTTCTAAGCAATCCTCGAAAACACAGGACCATTAGCTTACCAGCGAGCGGTTGCTTTTGACAGCTTTTATCAGCGGTTTGCTTCCCGGATGCCAATGCCATCACAGGGAGCAAATACAGAGGAGGTTTTGATAATACGACTTTACACGGCAAATTCAGGAAATAAAAGACCACATTTTTGAAACTGTAGCCTTCTAAGTACCGCAAAAGAGGAGGAAAGAAGTTTTGTCCAGTCGCATTTTTCGCTAACTCTGGAAAATAGAGGAAAACGAAAAAGTCTTACACTGATCACTCGGTCACCCATACTCATCATCCCGGAAATGCCGGCTGGTGAATTCGGCAACACCGATTTGATAAAAATACCCGAAACTGTGCTTCCTGGACCCAGTTGCCCGCCTTTGTGACTTACTTCTACCCGCCCACCAACAATACTGATTCCTGAAAATCGTTGCAATGTCACTATTGATCAACAGTGCTTATGGAACTTTAACAAGGAGAAGCACTAAAGCCGAAAATGACGGGGCCATAAATTCCATAAAATTAAATGATAACATGGGAGAAGCTGCTAGCGTCCCATCAGTTAGATGAAAATTAATGGCTGTTTGAAACAGCATAAAGATTATTTTCAAAATTTTTAGAACAAGAAATTTTGCCAGTAATGATTTTTTTTTTTCATTCTTTAAGCAGCATTCAGGATTTCGAGCTTTACACATGCACTTCCGGATATCAAAATCTAAAGTGGCCGAGCTTGGCGAATGCAGCATATAACGCCACGTAACTTGCAACAATAACTGCAGTGAATTTTCTGCCTGAATTAAAATAAAATTGTCGGTAACAATACTAGCTGCTAATACATGACAAATCCCCGTGATATGAGCTTTACGGTAATTAAAGTCCTGCGATGAATTATACAAAAATATTTTTGGTTCAAAAAAACCAATCATTGAAACGAGCAACGTAGAGCGAAGAAGCCTTGCTGATTAATAATGCACGAAAAATAAATCGCTTTCGGTGTAGCCCCTCTTTTCAATATACTTCTGGTACACTTGTAACTACATCTGCGCTAAAGTATAATGTCTATTTTTTTCCGATTTAGATTCTTAGTTGTATTATTTCTGGATACTATTTTAATGACTACCAATTATTATTCAGCTACTAAAATTTCGCATCGCGTCTTTTAAAGAATTTACCAAATGATTGATTCGGTTCACGATGCAGTATCACAGTCCTTGCTTCGCCCCAAAACTTCGACCGATTTGTTCCAAGTATCTAAAATCCGAATTCGTGTTTAGTCGTCCGAGCGATAAAAAAGTTTTTGCGGGAAAAACAAGAAAATGAGTTAGGCCAGAGTGAAATCGAGCAGACAGCCTTATTTTATGACCCTCCGTAATGCGTTTGTTCTGAACAAACATTTTGATTCTGAGAAAGCTTACAGCCACAAGCTGAAATACAATTACCGTGCTTACAGGCTGCGAACAAGCAGCTTCTTCAGTTGTGGCTGCCGATGTCGATGGACTGATTAAGCCAGCTTCGATTAAGCTCCGCCGCCTTGTCTCCTCTCTGATTGCAATCATTTCCGATTCGATCGATGAATTCCATTCCGCACTCAGTTTCTGAGTAGGCGTACTGCCACCAACCTGCGATAAAGTCGTTTCTTGGGATCTGCAAAATTAAGCTGAAATTCAAAAAATGAAAATTCATGCATATGCAGTGAAGATTATGTAACGGATTGGTGCTTTAGAATCGTGATAATTCAAGTTGTGAAGCACCAGGTGCAACCATGCGTTCTTACGCTAAAATTGAAGCAATCGGCAATCAACTGTATGTATGAACGGTTGTTGCTTAAAATTTGATTTGCACACTCATTACTATAAATCACCATAAATTATGCATAAAGGAAAATGAATAATTGCACTTCATCGAAAATTACGTGGCTTTTCTAGCGCCACAATTTCCACTCGCTCTTATATGCCACACGATGCGTCGGTCGGTGGCTCAGTGGCAAGACGCTCTCACCTGTCAGGCGGGCGTCCCGAGTGGGAGAATGTATGTGTGCAGCGCTGGCGCCTCGGACTCGGGTCCTCGCAGTGCCATGAACAGCACAATGCTCAGGAGTCCCTACTTCGACCCATGCCACTGCTCCGGCAGCCCAGTAGCAGAAAGGCACCGGTCGCGCCGAAGTCCCCGGGTTCGAATCCTACCACCGCCCGCACTACATCGCATGGTTCAGTGCTAGAACGCGAACTCGCCACAGTGGAGCCTCGGGTCGGTCCCCGGTGCTGGACCATCCTGCAAATGTGGCGCAGTAGAAGAGCGGTCTAGATCATTGCCCGTCATTCACTGAAAAGACCCAGTTGTTCTGGTTCCCGGATAAGCAGTTTTCTGCCAAACATTTCACGTGTTCATAAGTGAAAGCCACGCATATCTGGGAACTAAATTTCAGGAACCAGATAAGTTAGAAAACAAGGAATTTATGTCGAGAAAGAACGTCCGCAAGTGGGGAAAGAAAATCATCTTAAAATTTCAGGCTTCTTAGCTTACTTGGTCCCCGAATTAGCAGTTTCCCCATCAAGACTTTCATGTGTCCGTATGTGAGAAGCACAGGTACCCGGAAACTGAATTTGAAATCATTAATTTGTATGTTACAAGGAACATCCCTTAAAAATTTTAATTTCCCAGCTTTTCTGATTCCCAAGTTTTCCGTCAAAACTTTTACACACTCGTACGCGGAGTCAGAAACGCGTGCAAGTTGGTACTACATCTTAGAAGCAGCGTTTGACTAGGGAACTTACTGGCAAAATTTCAGCAGTAAGGGCTTGCTTGGTTGCCAAACTGAAATATAAGGAACACACACACACACACATACGATCGGTTGCCCACAACATGCATTTTCTCATTTGCATGTATACAGTAGAAAGGAATAATAAACAGAGGAAAAAGATAGTGCAGCTATTTGTGACCATTCAGGCGAGAAGGAGAAAGAGGACCAATAACCGGAACGCAGAAAGCCATGCGCACATATTCTGGAGGGTTTATACGTATTTTTACCTTCAAATAAATCCCGCGAAGAATCACCACCGATTCCACAGACGGATAGGGATAGCTAGTGGGAACAGTGCCATCACAAGGATCATATGATGACACTGTTGAGCCCCCCTCTCCCCGCCCCGAGTAATTGACAAGCGAAACCATTTTGAAGTTTAATTTTTCGCAGTTGGAAGGGAACGAAAGCATGATGACAGATGTTTTAAGATTTACCGCGTTCAGAAAATCAAGAAAAAAATTCAAAGAAATCCGCTTTTACAGTTGGAAAGACGCTAAAAGTTATTGATACCTTTGTCAGTTTATGCAAAAGGTCCACGTTTCGTATATGGGACCCCGAGGAAGAGAAGTGAAAGAATCTGGCTGTTCGCGCACGGACAACAAACAGGAAAATTCAAAAATTCGATTTTTATAGAAAGAATGACAAGTGAAGAATTGTGAGAGTCAAATCCTGAAAACTCTAAGACTAGCTAATTGGCTTCGTTTCACTTCTATAAATCATCTGCAGTCATGGAAAGTGTAGTCAGATGATCCGTAAGATTCTGCTTCCTTTGATTAAAATCGGTGAACACCGCGTGAGTGTCACCCGTAAGAAACAAAGGATTACTGTGAAGGATTCCGAAGATGGCACAAGTGAAAGTTATCTAGAAAACTTTGAGGCCAGCATTTGTAAGCGAAATTGCAGAATGGAGAGACAAAGGTCAGGAAAAAAAACTTTACAAAACAATGCTAAGTATGTCGATGTACGCCAGAAACATCAAGGCTCCAAATCGAGAGCCTGGGCAATTACAGTGTTATTTGCCATAGGAATCTAATCTGGCTCTTTCATTAGCCCGAAATTTAACTGAAGAATGCAGAAAACTGGAAAGTGACAGCTAAATTCTTTCTATCCGCGAATTCAGGAGCAGAATCGAATGTGTCATTCAAATTTTGGCCCAGCACTGCCACCCGCTTCACAAAAGTAAAATATTTTGTACAGAAAAAATGCATTGTTTCGCAAATACAAATTTCACTTCGGTTCCGGCCTGAATTTTTAACTTTAAAGCGAACTGCCAAGACTGCTTATTCAAGCAGAGAAAACCTGATGTTACTACAGTTATGGCTGTGCTGCGGCTTCCTTTCCTGAGTTACATACTACCATTTAGTAACAGCATGTGACGACCGTCTTGATACAACTTTTCAGAGTGTAATAAACTAAATTCAACTCAAAATAACGACCGGGGATAAATTAGTATTAATGATACTTTTGGGCCTAATCTTTGGGCTTCAAAATCCATCCACCATTTTCATAAAAGCCATTCCAATAAAAATGATTCGGATTTTTTGAATTCGTTAACTTTTCCCCAGAAACTCGCCGTACAGAAGCAGTGTAGCCCGGAAAAATACGTTTCCTACTACTGTTGATCTCAGACCACGTCTACAAAAGTGTAAACAGTGCTAAGTTACCATGATTACCCAGGCCACTTTGATAGTCGGTATGGGGATTCGATGTTACAGATGTTACTAGGATGCAACTACATGTCGTGCGCTGCTTGGCAGGCTTTAGTTTACCTGGAACTACTCTTCCTCTTCATTCCAGCTGACTCTTTGCTGTCTCTGCGCAGAGATGAGGTCGAATGTTTCCTTGAAGTTTTTTCGTAGCCCAAGGATGATGATCGCGAAGCTTTTCGATGTGAACGCTCCTCGTTATCTTCCTCTACAGAGACGGGTCTTGGCAAATCCGCGGACGGCTTTATTTCTTCCGCGGAATCTGACTGCCGTAGGACCTGGAATTTCATTTCTCATTTTCAAAGGTGCTTGAGCTTGGAATTTTCAAAATACGAAAATACAAGGATGGTAAACAGAAAGCAAAATTCAAATAAGCCAAATATTATTCGATGAACCAACGAACCTCTGTTGTAGCAGCTGTACTTGTTGATGGAACAACTTCAATTCGTTCACTTAGCGATAGTTTTTGTTCTGTACGCGATGGAACATGTGTTTTCCATTCTGGCAAATGTTCCGACACTAACAAATCCAACAGAAAATCCTTGAAAATTGCCTGAAAAATTATTCAAAGGTTTTGCCTGAAAAATTATTCAAAGGTTTTGCCTGAAAAATTATTCAATTTGCCATATGCAGTATATCGGCCAGACTAAACGAACCCTCCAGGAGCGTGCAAGAGAACACAG